CACTCGGATCAGGTGTGGGGCGTTCGCTATAGTCCGGGAAACGACAAGGTGGCCTCCGCCTCCGAAGACAAATCTCTAAACATATACTACTGTCCACCCAATGCCATTGTGTGACTCCCATTTCGTACAATAAAGCGTAGGTTAAAAACAAAAAACAAGCGTGATTTATTTACGGATTGCCCTCAGAGTTTGATTTAACCCGCAGGAGCGGCTGCGTGGCTTGAGTTAGCATCGTATCCTTGTACTTCTGGTCGGGTATGTACATATTGAAGGTTTTAAAGTAGTGTAGAATATTTTCTGGGGGAGTAAAGATTAGTCTGGAGTACTTAGATGGTATCCATTCTTGAAATCTCACCAACTAGGGGCTCCTTGAGCTTGTACTCGTTGGCTATCTTATTGGCTGGCCAGTTTTCCGGATCCAGCTGGTGGTCATTGATGAACTTGAGCGCCTGGCGCAGTGTGCAATGTCCAGCGCTGATGCGCGTGGGTTCCAGGTACCCATACTCGAAGTCATCCGGCGTTTTGCGCTCCAGGGGCAAGGGTCGCTGCTCCGCTTTGTCAGCCGCCGCCTCCGCTGCCTGGCGCTCCTGCACCCGCTTGATCTGGGGAATATATATGGTATTATTCCTCGAAATAACTCCGGGCAACATCAACCCACAAATCGATCCTGCGAGGTTACATAAACGTTTTTCAAACGCCCATCCAAGCTGGAGTCCTTCAAGTTCAGTTTGTCCACGAACTTGGGATCCACTGTGGGGAAAAAATCAAATAATAACGTTCCTATTAGGTACTCTTATAACTCACATTCCAAGGTGCGCTCCATGTCCCTCAAATTGGAATCGAATTTGGGTGCCGGTGTGGGTTTCTCGCGCTCCAGGATGCGATGGGCGCGATTCTCGACATTGAAGCGATTCACCCGCCGGGCCACCATGGAAACCACCTGTCCCATGCCGAAGTTGAGTTTTATTTACGTTATGCTGTTGAAAAATTCACGTGAAATCGAGGAAACCGAAAAATAATGAACATAACCAAGCAGCTGTGATTTGTTTTGATAACAGCTGATTTGTTATCGATAAGTGTTGTAAAACACCCGCGAACAGCTGTTGGTTGTAAACAAACGAAAAGTTAACTTTACCTTGATTTCCACTGATTTTGTTTATTAAAAAACTCAAGATATGCTGCCCCTGCGATGCAGTTGGTTCCTGGCCAGGGCCAACTATGGCACCAAGGCCAGGAAGGAGCTGGTGGCTCGCTATAGCGGTGAGTTCCCGGAGAAGCTGCTCAACCGGAAGCAAAAAGTGCCCTCTCACATGTATTTGGCGAATGCCCAGGCTGCCGAAAGGATAAACCAGTACCTGGAGCCCCATTTCCAGAGCTCCGGTTGCGATACTGTGATGGAAATCAATCCCGGCGCAGGACATTTCACCCGTCACCTGCTGGACAGGGAATCCCAGTTCCGTAAAATAATCCTGCTCGAGAGCATGGATCACTTTATGCCCAGAGTTCAGGAGCTACATACGCTCTATCCGGAGCGTGTGAAGGTGCGCCACGGGGATTTCGTGAACCTGTGGAAGCTGGTCTACATGGACAAAATAGACGGAGGCTCCAGAGTGGCGGATCTCCTCAATGATGTGCCCCAGAAAGCCTTCACAGATGGTGAGCTTATATGGTATTTCCTTAAGTTACCCCTAACTTTATTTTTCTGCAGATATCAACATGCTTGTCTTCGGCGCCGTGGGCTCCTATCCCTTCTTCAAGCATTTGATCAACTCGCTCATCTTTCAGACCAGTCTTTTCAATCTCGGACGCTGTGAGATGATCCTCGCCATACCGCCGCCCATTTACATAGTAAATACTTCAAATTTTCTTTTATGGATCGCTAGTATCACACATTACCTTCTGTCAGCACCTCACCTGCAACAATGAGATTGGTTACCTCATTTACCGCTCCACCAGCGTGCTGTTCCAGATCCTCTTCGAGCACCAGTTCATTGCCAAGATTCCGCGCGAGGATTTCCTGCCTCAGCAGACAGCCTTCAGTCCCACCAAGGGCAGCAAGTTGGTCAAAGTGCGATCCATCAACCCGGAGTACCTGTACCTGGTGAAGTTTTCACCGCGCCGTAATCTCCACGAGCTATGTCAGTCCCAGGATCTTCCCGCCCTCTGGTTCTTTATAAAGCAGAACTTTGTGAGCCGGCGAAATAGGATAATACCCAATTTGGAGTAGGTAGCCAAAGCAAAACCCTAGGGCTTTTAATTCAAGATTATTATTTCTGTAGAAAATGGGTGCCTGGCTGTGGACCACGACTGATCATAAATCCGCATGCTTCTGAATCCGTGAAGCCCACCTACCCGGATGAGTCGCCCAAAAAGCTGCCGCAGTACTCCTGCCAGAGCACCTCCATGAGCACCAGGAACTACTATCCGGGCATCAACATCTACACCCAGTTCGGAGATCTCCGGCCTAGTCAGATGCTGACGCTGTTTAGTCAGTTCCGTCAGTGGCCGGAATACGGCGAGAGCTCCTTCCTCGCCTCGCTGGAAAACGCGCTGCTCAAACTGGAGACTGCCAATGATGAACAAAACCTAGAGGATGGCGTCACGTTGCCAGAGGAGGATGACGCCGAGGCAGATGAAATGCTCGAGGAAGAAAGCCCCGAACCCGCCACCCCTCCCGCCAAAAGTCGCAGGAAAGCCAGTTCCTAGTTTTGGATAGTACCCAAGTACTTCCTTTAGCTTTTAGCTGTTACAGAACACATAAATTTGAATACGGAAACCCGCCATAATTTTGAGAAATGGTCTTTATTGGAATGTAATCCGAAAATCATAGAGTACCTGCTTTGAACATTGAACAAATTCGAAATTCTTCACTGGGATGTACAGCACCAAACGGAAAACACACATAATAGGCACCTTATTGTTAAACAATTTATATATCATGCTGTAATCCTCTAGGAACACTTTCCTTGGGCCAAAAGACGGCTGCCGCGAGCGCACTTTTCGGCCAGCTCAATGTAGTATTCCGGCGGAGCCTGCTCCGGCGTGTCCGATATGCGCGTCTCCAGTTGCACCGAAAGCTTCACACAGTCGACCATCAGGTTGGTGGGATTCACGCCGAGCACATAGGTTGCCTCCTTGTAAGGGCAGGGATTCTCCTCGTTCTTGGTGTTGCCGAACTCGTAGCACGTTTCGCGAATCATGAAGTGTCCGTCCTTGGCACATGGATTACGTATACACTCCGGAATAATCCGCTCCTTGTAGAGCACCAGCATCTGGCCAGGCTCACAGGGTCCCTGCCGGTAGGCCGGATAGCAGCCATCGGTCTCTGGGTAATAAAGAGTGGCTAGGGGAAGTACCAAGTACCCAGATTATTATGTCATCGCCGCTGAAGATCTATTATGGCTGCTCACCTGGCGCGCAGTCGCAGACCCAATCGTTTTGCTTTTGCTGATCCCCCGGATAAAGAAGCTGGTGCTTGGGGCATCGGGCTGGGGAATAGAGTGGCTTGCGACCCTGAGGAAGAGAAGAATGCGGAGACGGGTGAGGGAGCCATCTGATTGATTATTGCCGATGCGTCTTCCATACTCTACCAAGAAGTCCTAATATTTGGTACATCTTTTTGAAAGATATTTTGAAAACTTAAATATTTTAAACTTTCTATTTTAATAAATATGATATATTCCTGGATAACCAACCCGAAACTTGGGTTCTGTTGAGATTTTATAAATGGTAATAATGATTTTGTTCTAGTGATTTCTCTTTATTTCTTGGAAGTTGTAACATATTTATAAAAAATGTAAACATTTTTATTTTTATGGCTTGTAACACCAAATTATCTGTACATCAGAGTGTTTTCGAAAAATATTTTTAGCTGGGTTTATGATTAAAAGCCGGAACTTTAAACTTGGTAATAAAAATGGAACCTGTTGTTTTGGGAAGGGTATTTATAAGCTGGGCTTTTCTAGTTCCAGCTGGCTTTGCTCTCCCAGTTCGGGGTTTGTTATCATGGACCGTCGAATTGGTTTGCTCTGTCTGCAGCTTACCGCTAGATTGGCCTTCTTCTTATCAATGTCTTGATCCTCGACAAAGGCGATTTGGGCGCGTGCCACTTTCCCAATGAGCGCAAAGATCACGACGATCAGCAAAAGTCGAGTATTGATCATTGTTCAATCTTTCGCTCTCTCTCTCGCTCTGTTTTGATCAACGGGTATGCAAAATCGACGATGCCGGGGGCTTTACGAGATAACAAAGCGCGACTTTCCTCGGTTTCACTTTTTACATCCGCTTACAACCAACTACGGCGAAGATCGGCTTCAAACTCAGATCGTCATAAAATTCGCTCTGGGATCTTTTGGAAAAAAAGCTTTAAAGCTGTTTGAGCTCCATCAGCTCTGCCAGTTTGGAGGTATTTTGAGGTGACTCAAAAGAACCTGAAATTCAGATGCAGATTTATGGAAACCTTCCCGGAAAGAATCTAAAAATGACAACATCTTTTAAAATATTAATTTGAAATGGCCTAAGTATCAGATTGACTTTTTAAAAATATCCATTCACATTTCAACTTCAATATGTCAAAAATATCAATTTGTAAATTTTAAATTTTATGAATATTTTATCTTAGCAACACAAAATAAATTATTCAGTCTTACAAAACTTAAAAAAGTTTACTTTTAGCATTTTTTAGATTTTTAAAATATAGTAAATAAACAATTATAAAACCATTTATAAAAATATTACACAACGTTTACTTTAACTTTAAAATATAGTAAATAAACAATTATAAAACCATTTATAAAAATATTACACAACGTTTACTTTAACTGCGCAGTATTTACTCTAAATATTTTCTTATTTCACTGTTTTTAAAATCATTAAGTGTGTTACCCTGAGTGTCAAAACTTCAGACAAGAATTTTTTGTAAAAAATATTTTACGATTTTCTCGCGCTAAACTCACCACAAAATTTGAATAATATGGTGTTATCAGCACTGGCCTTCAGTTAAGCAATCGCTGCCTATCGATAAACACCCATCACCATTTTCCTTTGTCAAAATAGAAAAGTAAATAAATAAAAATTAGATTCACCTGCGAAACGAAGCAACCACACACACGGAAAGGCTCAAATGGACGACGAGGAGACCTCAGGTGGGTGTGGTGACATCGAATCACTCAAATGATGCACCAAGCTAACATGCTGACCATCTCAAACTGCGCAGAAATCAATTCTGTGCATGGGGAGGATGCAGATGTGCAACGGGAGGAAGATACACACACACAGGGGTTCCAGGATCAGCAGGTGGAATCGGTGGAGCAAGCTTGGAACGATGCAATAGAGGACGAGCACTCACCGCTGGTGGAAGACGCTTTCGGGGATCCACTGGCCATCGAGGAAGACGGGAATGCGGATGCACAGCATGCCATAATGGAGGACGCATTGCAGGACGACACCGCCAGCGAGGGCAGTCATCCCAGCAGCGACATGTCCCTGGAGAGTCCAGGAAGTGAGGGTCAGTTGACTTAAAACTTTGGTTCTCCAGGTTCCCACTAAATACCCACATTCCCCACCTAGATGACTCAGATTTGGAGCGCCTGCCTCGCTGGATGATTCCCCAGAACCGCCTGCGCTCCGCCGTCGATATGATGGTCTCACAGGCTCGCAACCGGGATGGCGGAATCGCCGCCCTGCTCAACCGGGACAACTTCCTGCAGCGCGTGCGCAGCATGGTTTTCAGCCAGGAGCGGCGACGTAGTCGCACCAGCGAGGATACCAGTCAGGAGGCCACGGATCAGCCAGACGATCATCCGGCGGCGCCACCACCACGTCCGCCGATAGACATTGAACTGGAGGAGGGAGTGCGCTTCGACACCAATCTGGCAGCTGAGCACTCCTACTTCGGCAACCATCTGAGCCGCGTACCCGGCGTTGACTACTTAGAGGTGGGCAGCACCCACCACATGCTCATCTTTCTGCACCAGCACATCCTGTTTCCCGGCGAGGTTTTACCTTTCATGATCGACGGCCGAATGTTCGACGAAGATATGCCCGGCCTGGATGGCCTGATCTTCGGCGTGGGCTTTCCTTTAATGCAACCGCCGGAGGACAACCCCCACAAGCTGTACGGAGTCACTTGCCAAATCTACGAAAAGGGCGAAAGCGGTCGGGGATTGGTGTTCTATAAATCCCGAGCACTACAGCGCATTGTCATCAACTGCGGTGATATACAGGGGTGAGTGGTTTTGCAACCCATTTGATAATGTCCTTTTAACACCCTGAAATCCTTTCAGCCCACCGCAGTACATTGCTCGCAATCCTACTAGCAAGTGTTTCAGCAAGGTCAAAATATTGCCGGAGTACTTCCTGCCGGAACCACTTCAATCCGTTGATATGGGCTCGATGGCCAGATTTCGGGATATTCCCTCGATGCGCGACAAATACCAGAGGTTCCAGCTGGCCACTACTCCCTGGCCGGCTGTAGCCTGTCAAGAGTATTCCTTCGCTGCCATTGTGGAGAGCGCTCGCCAGAGGCTAGAGACCCAGAAGATAGACACCATGCCAAAATGCCCCATTCAGTTGTCTTTCTGGCTGGTGCGGAACCTCCACCTGACCGAAAAGATGATGCGTCTGACCTTTCTCACGGACTCGGTCAACACTCGCCTCCAATTGATTAAGAGCACGTTCCAGGACGAGTCGCTATTCTTCTGCCGGTATTGCAATAGCAGCCTGGCCCACTGCTCGGATCTCTTTGCCATGTCCAAGCACGGTGTGCAGACACAGTACTGCAATCCAGGTGAGGGATCAATCCAATTGGGTCCATTAAATATATATTGATTGCAACAATTCATATTCCCAGAGGGCTACATCCACGAGACGAACACCGTGTACAGAGTGATGTCCCACGCCATCGGCTACAGCGGCGAGCCGTCCACCAAGTTTAGCTGGTTCCCCGGCTACCAGTGGCACATTATCCTGTGCAAATTCTGTGCCCAACACGTCGGCTGGGAGTTCAAAGCGGTGCAGCCCAACCTGACTCCCAGATTGTTCTTCGGCTTGGCCGGCTCAAGTGTGCGAATTGGGAAGGCCAGCGAAAATACACCGGTTAATGGCAGCACGTATGTGGTGCGCAACATGCTGCGGCTGATCTCCAACGAGATGGAATGAGGCTGGCGCGTTGTGAAGCGATTCAGCTGCCAACTCTGCTGCTGGCGTCGTCCGGAGAACAATGCAGTCCACCAAAGGGGGCCTGTTTAATTCGTTTCACAACCACATTTTAGCAGAACACACGGCGATTTAGGGCGTGGATGTAAACCGAAAGATTGATCTACATATGAATGCATATATGTTCTTTAGTTGAAGTAAATTATACCTAATTGATATTTAAGATTATTTGAAACTAAAGCTTCTCTGTAATAAGTTACTCTTAAACAGTGGCTTTTATTATTTAAATGGGATCGATATACAATTTTCAATCATTAAGAAGAGCCGCAAAGGAGGTGGACAATTTCTGAAAAAGATTAAACGGACATTTTAGGAATTTATCAATAATAAGCCATAGGAATACTTACCGCCTTACAGAAGGGACACAAGCCAAAGGAGACCTCCAGGAAGGTCTTGCCCTCCATCAGCGTCTGGAACCACTCTTCCAAACAGTCGGCATGGCACTTGAGAACACATTTGGGATTGTCACAGGAGACGAGGGGCACGTCGCCATTATCCAGGCGATAGACAAAGCAAATGTTACAGCGCAACTCCTCGTTATCCTCCTCATCCTGCTTGGGGCCATCAGAACAGTCGGGCATGGGGAAGTAGCACAAGTCGAACATTCGCAGCAGGTTCTTGTGGATGTCCAGCTCGGAGTCCCAGTTGCCCAGGCCCTCACTAAGTACATGACGCAGTTGAGCCACCTCATTCGTGGGCCCTATGATCTTCAGAGCCATGGATGCGATGCAGGCGAAGGGATCAGTGATAGTCAACTTTAAATAGACGCGTTCCTTGAGAGGAAACACCCGTGTGTTGTGCTTGGTGGTGATGGGCGACGGCTGGAGCACATGACATAGCTCGTCGATGTCCATGAAGTTGTCGTAGAAGGGACGCAGTTCCTCCAGGAGTTTGCGGAAAAGGACTAGGACCTGCTCTAGTGTTCCAGCACTCTTGGTCAGTATTTCACCCAATGGTACGCATTCTGGAAGGCTATGATCTTTCACGCGTAGGGAGGGAACCTCCAGCTCCAAGTAATGCTGCTCAAAGTCGCTGAATTCGCAAATACGAAGAAGGGTGCAGTCGTCATCAATTAGCATGCAGTACTCCTTGGATTTGCACAGGTCTAGGATGTCGGAATAGACGTCCCCCTGCTGCTTTGACGTTGTTGGGACTTTCTTGGCAGGGAGAATCTTTCCCAGATTGTCCAGCAAGTCCTCCAGCAGCCAGTCATCCTGTAGCTTAAGGTTATCAGATGTAAACAACTTGTACACCACGCCTTCCTGCACGTACAGCTGCAAACCATGAAGAGCTGGGTGGTGGGGTAAGTAAAGCCTGATGTTACGCCAGATTTCCTAGATTAAAGGACTATCATTACATTGGCGGGAATGTTTAGAGTACTCTTACTTACCTCACTGCAAATAACTCCTCTTATATTGCAATAACCACTTGGATTAAGTTCCGCCGTCAAGCCAGGGTACTTTAGCAGCAGGAGACGCTTCACATCTACTTCCCCAGTGTCCATTATATCATTTTTTTGTCTAAGTTAAGCTTGATACATATATCTTTTGTTTACCTTTTTTTGAACTCCCTTAGCTAGAGATGGTCATATTCCGATGGCCTCGATTGCGCCAATCGAGATCGATAACGAACTAATCGCCGGCTAATTTGAATTTGAATGCTCGTCGGAATAAAGTTTAAAATTAGAGGTTGATATAACCAATTTAGCGGGCTTTTCCCACTTTGTTTACATATTAACCCCATAGCTGCATTACCGGCTATTTAGCCATAACATTGCAGTTTCGACTCTCACGTCTTATCAGCCAAATTTACGTTATTTACTGATTCGAATCGACAGTGTTTGCTCTTCGTTAGAGCACAACACCTGCGGGCCTCACTGTTTTCTTTTGTAACACCTGCGTGGCGGTCCGTATCAATAGCCTGATAAACTGCTCTCTCAAACCGTTGGTCATCGCTCGGACACGGGCTATTTAAGGCTCTCCACCTGACCCATCAATTCCATTCACGGCTATCATTCCGGTGCGCGCGTACTCAAGCTATTTTCTGTTCTTCAGACCAAAAATTAAAGGAGTTTCCCCGAGAAAAATGCTGAAAATCGTTGTAACTTTGGCTTTAGTTCTGGCCACAGTCAGTGCCACCACTGTCCAGCAATGTAAGTAGCTTAATTTCCTCTTTTTCGGTCACTAGGACATCCTAAACTTTGTACTTCGGCTTTAAATAGCTTTGTCTATTAAAGTTTGTTCATGGTTTTAATTCCTATACTGGTGATTCATTTCACAGCATAATCTCTGTGAAATGCTAAAAACTATTGCCGAAAATACTTCTGTGTGGAAATAAAACTCCTCAAGAGTATCTCTCGGCTAAGTTGATATGGCTTATCAGCCTGTGCCTGCTAATCTAGTCTTTCTGTTAAAAAACCATAGCCTACTTATAAGCTCACATGTTGATTTTCTTTCAGGCAAAAACAAGCCGTTTCCACTGAGTGTAAATGTTCAGGATTGCGAAATACCACCTTGTGTTGTATATAAAGGATTATATGCCGTGATGGAGGTGCACTTCCTGGGCAGTAAGTTGAAGGTTCTATATCCATAGGTACACACTTCTAACCTCGATCTCTTACAGATAAAAATAATATCAAGAGCATCACGGCCAGTACAACGGCTAAAGTATTGGGCATGAATCTGCCTTATGCACTGCCCGAAGAGGTTTCCAATGTGTGCATAAATCTTTTGTACGGCGCCATCTGTCCCATCGATAAGGACGAGGATGTCGTCTATAAGTTCAACTTCTACGTGGATCCTTCGTTCCCGGAAATCACGGCGGATGTCACTGTCACACTGAACGATGCCCAGAACGAACCGATCGCCTGTTTTGTGGCGAGCTGCAAGATCCGGAAGGGACCCACTGCAGTGCGGGACGAATATCTATTGGACTGGACGAACCCCAATTCCCAATAATCCGACGATGTACTCAACTCCACCGATTTGGTCCGACTGAATGTTCCCACTTATTTGCAAATCAATAAACTCAAAACTCTTGCAACGATAAACGTATTTGTTTACCTTGACGACGTCACGGATTCCAATGTACCCGTCCAATCAGTCGTCGGAATAACACGTTTCTAGGCCCGCCGATTAGATACCCACCCAAACTTATTTATAAACAGTCATCTGTGACGTTGTTTTTTTTTTGCACCGAAAGTCCAGTAATTTATTTCCAATAAAGTCGTCGTGATAAACATTTATTGGCCGCCCGAAGATCGACCATATGGTCAAAAGTTGGCGCTCCGAGATAAGGCGCTAACCGTCTTGCTGGGTGCAACTGTACACTTGAAGCAATTCTACCTAAAAACACTATATTTTCTGTGAACTAGTTTGTGGAGATTACTAACGTGATTGCGGTTAGATTTAATCATAATGAGAAGTGTTTCCATAGAATCTTATCACTTATGCGCTTTTTTTGTGGGGTTATTCCTAAAGTCCATACAGTCTATTTTTAAGCTACATTAATAGAAATTATGATATAATATTTTGACAATACTATATTTAACTGGGAATACTGTTTTGGATACATGGATTACTTAATTTCTAAATTTACCCTTAAATTATTTAATGAGCACATAATATTTCATAGGTTTTTTCCAGAAGTCCATGTAGAGTATTTTAAAAGTAGGTTAATATAAATTATGTTATTATATTTTGGGAATACTATATTTAACTGGGAATACTATTTTGGATATATGGATTACTTAATTGGTAAATTAAATTAAATAGTGAAAGGCTTACTTAAATTTATTTAAGAACACATAGTATAGGACATTTGTTAAAATATCCAACTTTAAGTTCAGCATTAAAAAGTATTATTTATTACATTTTTTGTTTATATTTTTGAATCTTTATAGATATATATTTATATAATTACAATTTTTATAGTACTTAAGAGGCTTTTTATTTTAAGCCTAGATGACCCTGATGTTTATTACAGTGCAACCCACGGTGAATATAAATCAGATAATGTGGGTGAGTGTCGGGCTATGGGAAACGGCCGTTGATAGCCCGGTACATTTCTCTTCTTCTTCGCATTTTTCTTGACCAGGTGTGTTAAAATAATCAGACTCGAGATTTGTGAATTATTATTTGATTCGATTATAGCTATTTGGCCACTTAAGTTCACATCTTAATGGCTGCGTGGGCAGATAGCGCAGGTGGCCAATAGAATGCCTTGTAATACAAGTCTTAAAAATACCAGACGCCGAAGTTGGATTTTGTTTTTCCCAACCCAAGAGGAATAGCATAAGATGTACTCAGGAAAACCACCCTCATATGTGGGGGTAAAGCTTTTAAAATTTTATTAAATATTCATGAGACATCGTGGCTGAGCTCAGCGATGGATTTTTGAAAAATAAAACCAATGGTATATCACAGTAATGTAAACCAATTGCTGAAAACCGTCGCTACAACTTCATTTGAGATAATCTAGTTCATAGACCGTATTGCCGCCATTGCCCTTTACCACCTTGATGTCGCACACGAAGCACGTGGCAATCTCCTTGTCCTGATCCACCAGATAGATCTCGATCCTCACGCCGATCTCGGGATATTCCCCGATGGGAAAGCTGAACAGATAGGACACATCCTCGGTGGCATATAGTGGGCAATAGGCGCCGAACTGGAGATTTGGACAGACGGCAGCCACATCTGCGGGCAGTTCATAGGGCACCGTGATGATTCCGAGGGTAGTGGCCTTCACCAGAGTTGTCAGCTCGGTGATGTACTTATCCACGGCAAAGTCGATCTCGAATTCCTGGGTCGATCCCTTAACGATTTGGCAGGGTGGTGTCACGCAGTTATGAACACGCACCTCCAGCGGAAAGGGTTTATTTCCAGAGCCTAAAAGGGTATTAGTTTTATTTAGAGGGGTATTATGAATTCTTTGGTAGCTCCACTTACATCGCTTTACCTCCGTGGCGGGATGCTTCTGCTGGGCTGCTACCAGCAAAAGAAATCCCAGTGAGATCAGAACCAACGCCTTGACTAGCATGTTTCTCAGTTCGAATTGATTTCGGCCAACGGTGCCCACTTCGTTTTTATAGCCAGATCCGAACTGTTTCTCGGCTAAAACGATCGGACTTTACCTATCTAATCGAGGGCCTCTGATTTCACTCGAAATTGATTTAAGGTAGGCGGTTTTTGTGGGATCAAATGGTAACTGCTACAACACCTCCTAAGTCTCAGACTCATAATGGATACTACTAATATTGCTGTAATTTTAAAAAATAATATAACTATTTAGCAATAACATATAGACAATAATAACCAGTCTAAAAGGTTAATAGGTTTTTAATTAAAAACCAAACTACCCTTAATTTATAAAGATGAAAATCACCCAATAGTTAGATACAACTTATCTGCGTACTTAAATAAAGACCTTGCCAATACCAATCTGAACTTCAATTCACATCATTAGAGCCGCAATCCGAATGGATCGTAAAATTATGAAATCGGGCAGCAGCATTTTATCACTTCATCGGCAAGTTCACGGGACCCTGGAACCACAAAGGAACGGTCCAAAATAAATCCCAGAGCACTCCGCAGGCAGGCCACTAAGCCTCTGATGGCAATGGAAAAACCCACAGACATTTGTGCCTCGGCCAAAGCCACTGACAATGGAACTTCTGCGGGGCAGGAAAATGTGCGAGTATAAAGGAAACGGACGAAGAGTAAGCTGGAAAGTATAAGACCCCCTCTGGAACTCCACCCACCCAGCACTCAACGGTTGGCGAATTTGCCAAAAGGTAAGAAGAGCGTGATGAGATTGAAGAGTTCTGAGATTTAAAAAGCGAATTCCTTTAGCAAAAACTTAAGATATGTAGAAAACCTTTTTTAAGCAACATTAAATAATTTGACCTTATGACAAAAAACACGTTATATTATAGCTTGGAAAAAATCGTTTTAAACTTTAAGAAATAGATAGGAAATTAAGAACATTTTTCTGGTTTTTGTATTTAAAAATATGCTATTTATGAAAAGAGTGATGGGATTTAAGCGGTCTATGATCGGGATAGATTTCATTTTGAAAAATGGTGTTCCACAATTTTAGCAACATTAAATATTTGTATTTTATTAGAAATATTGTTTTTAATATCTACAGAATAAATGTGTTTTAAAGCTATAGAGGTATATTTTGAAATATCTGTGTATATTTATTATTTTAATATATTTTATGCTCATTTAACCTTTATTTTTGCAACATGTTATTAGCTACCCTCGCCAATATTTTGCAACATTTCGGATGGTTGGTGGTGACTTGCCATGTGGACGGCCTCAGCGCAGCATGAGATTTCCTCGAAATGCTTTTGAACTTGCCACCAACCCACCCCCTCTTTTTCGCCCGTCCAGGAACTGTCGTCGCTCCTCACATGTAATTGTTGTGACATTATTTAATATGTCAAAGCAATGGAAAATCCGGCAGGACAAAAAATATCCCCGACATACAGCCACACACGCCCGAAATGGATCTCAGGGAACCGCAATATTTGATTAGCATCAGGTTGATTCGGGAGTCCTGATACAATGATTTCGGAAATCTATTTTCGGTGTCATCTAATGCAATTATCTGGGCCGGAAAATCTGATACCCGAATACTTTCGCAGGCAAACATTTCCACTTGGTTCGGCTTCCGTTTTGCACTTTTGGGTGTTCTCAATTTTTGCATATTCCCAAATGTATTTCACAGATGTTCAGCTTATCTTTGATGTGCCTTTTTTTACGGGGAATCAATAAGTGAGGGGGAAAAGCGGAACTAAGAGTTTGATTATTGATTTTTTCGAGTCGAAAAGTAGGCAACATTTTTTACCTTCCTAAGCTTTTAGTTGAATAGACTGGTTTATGTCGACCCCCGCCCAGAAACTCTGCTGCCCGCTGCTAACTCAATTAGTTCATCAAATCAAGTCAGACATTAAATGCCAGCGCCAAAGCCAAACAATTTGTCACGCCAATCCTGTGGCCTTTCCCTCGACAACCCATCAACCCAAAAACCCAACCTCCCCGAACACCCAACTGTCTGTTCTATTTCAATTTGATATTTGTTTGCACGTAATTCAATACCAAACGACAAACTGACAAACTGGCGCGTCCATTGTGTCTCAATTAGGCGTCAATTTGATTTCCGTGTTGTTAATTTTTCATTAAATTTTTGGAACTGCCGTGTGTTGTCAATTAATAAAGGAATTTTCGGAAGGCCACGCCCAATTGTCCATGAACTCTTGCCCTTTTTCCCCCTCAACAGGTGCTGCCAAAGGGGTCAAAATCCAGTGCTGCCCATTATTTTACCCTAATGTCATCTTAAGTCTTGAAATATTTTCGTTATTTACTAACTTTTAATAAGCAGTGGGTAATACAAATGGGTGACTACTTCAATATGATTTTTAAGACATTTTTGTATAAAGATAAATTCAAAATCTTTACGAAAATAGGGTTCTTTGGCAGCACTGGTCAGAACAACCCCTGCAACCCTGTATGTAGTTTCAACTATCCGAGTGCATTCAGCTGTTTGTATTTTAACAAGGAAAAATCTATGATTGCTTGTGGTCAACCAGGTGACCAACTGGCCTTGAGACAAGTTTTCCACACTTTCCACCTGGAAAATTTTCAAGCGTGGGGCTGTAGAGGGCGAATATTTCTCGCCTAGCTGCACCCTTTGATATCCCAGCACTGAAGTCTCATTTGGCAATAGCAATTTGCATATGCCGTCATGCAAAAATGTTTTTATTAAATTTTTCCAGCATGTAGAGACCGGGCAGGGATGCTAATTAATTGCTCGGCGCGCCCTGAAAAGACTGTTCTGCTTTTGGCACTGTAATTAAGTGAATGCGAAACTCATGTTTCCCGAAATCCGGAGGAACATGCGTTGCAACAAGTTCTCTCCAGCTGTTGAGTAATTTTCCCCCAAAGTGTTGGCATTTAAGACCATGTCCTGCCCTCGTTCCCTCCTCACCTTTTCCACCTGGCAACGCAATTTCACCTGAGAAATGTGCCCACTTCGAGCGAAAAGAAGTTTGCTTAATTTGCATAAATATGTGCCGGTCGCTCTCAATTTCTGGCTGCCTGCGTATAATTAAATTGTTAGCTGGAAGCCTTGAGTTACATAATTTCAGAGTTCGGCCTTTCATCCATAATTCCGTTTCGGCATTGATGGATACCAAGTACAAGTCGGAATTCCAAGGAAAATGCCTAGTGGTTTCCCTGGAACTGCAAATAAGTTGGCTTTCAAAGGTAGATTGCATTGAAGTGATTGTGAAATGTGAAAACATGTTATTACAGAAATGGTTGCAAAGTTGAAATACTTTTGGTTAGGACAAAAGGCATTTGAATGCGGTTTACATTTGGTATTTAATATTTTGGTATTTAGATATAATGCATTATTTTCTTAATTTTTAAATTTTAAATTTGAATAAAAAGAACTTTTGATTTTAGTATGAAATTGATTTTAATGACGTAAAATGTAAATATGTTAAATACTTTAACATGTATTTAAAGTATTGATCATTGTATATAATGGCTAAAATATCTTAACACTTCTACCCCTTTTAGGCATAACCCACCCAATGTAACCCCTAAAACTAAATTAAAACTTCATTAACGCTTAAATTAATTATAAAAATGCAAATTAAACAAATAATTCGGCCAATTGAATGCTCAAGTTCCCTACCCTCCCCGAACACTAAATCCGAAATCCCGGCAATCATTTACTCATTTACGCAGGAACGTAAACATTTTAAAATCAATTGCTGGCGGGGTGAAATCGCTTAGCTAATTTGCATATAAAACAGTTGAATTTGCGAACAAAATCAGGAAATATTGATGAAATTTGGGCACCCCTTGACGGCGGCTGCTGTTTTTTCGCCCTCAACAAGTCAAGTGGGTGTAAGAAATTGTGTAAAACTTGCTACAAATTGGCTATGCATATAAATTGATGTTAATGTCGATCGGCGGAGGGTTGCTACAGGGTATAGCTATATATAGCCCATTGGCCTGAAAGTATGCAACGAGTGGATGATGTCGCAATCTGGTAATCTCGTAATCTCGGTGGCCGAGTTCGTTCTACTAAATCATCGCTAATCGCTTGCTAATAATATTGCCTGCGTGCAAATGCACTCAAAATGGTCAAGAATTCAACAGGTGTGCGTTTTGTTGGCCTTTTTATCTGGGCCAAAATTAGTTGACTCTGCACTCGTCCAGTTCAGATGTACTGGCTACAATATAATACTTATGGGTGCCATTAAGCCTCCTTTGGGCCCCTGAGTCACTTAAGTTTTTGGGGAACCAGTAAAGCAATAATGCTTACCCTTGGATGATTAACCATTTTTACTATCTTGAGCACTCCATACGATTCATTAGAATATTTTAATCTAATAAAAAAGAGTATTTAACATATTGATAAACTAAAGCGCGCTCAAGTGATTTATAGGTATTGATACTAATCTAAATAATCAAAGGGGGTTTTTAGGGTTCTACCAAAAAATGTTTGTCCCATGTTGATTTCCCAAAAAATGATCACGTTTATTTAAGGTTTTTTCCGTTAATCACAAGCAAAATGATAAGCAATTATTTTTGTTCTAAAAATGTTCTTAGGATGCCTCTAAGTGCGATTAAGACGTAATAATCGTCGTTAAGTCTAAATCAAACGTAATGTTAGTGCAAACGTTCAAAGCCCAAAAACGATTAGATTAATGGCCGAGTGCAGGAGTACCAACTAGGCATATTAGGTATAAATACCCCTGCGATTAGTGAGTCTGGAATACAATACCATTAGTGCTTTCAAAGTAAACATCAGCTACCAAAATACTCCTGGAAAAATGCACAGCTTCAAGAACTTCTGCCTTTGCCTAGTGCTTCCTCTCATGTGGACATTGGTCACAGCTAACACACCAATTAGACAATGTGAGTTTAACTTAAGGAAACCCTTTAAATCATAAATTAACTTGGCCTAACTAAAATTTCAGGTGCCGACAGAAACTATCCTCAACCTCTGATGGTGCAAATCGATAATTGCGATGCCTTGCCCTGCGATTTGTGGAAGGGAACCGAAGCCAAGATCGATATCCAGTTTGTTGCCAGTAAGTAAATTCCGTATTGTTTTGAATACCCTATAAATGAGATATTTTTGGGGTCTTTAAAAAACTTTGAATTTCTTAAAAAATTTATTAATATTGCTATAAGATCTAATGATTTGCATAAAAGATAAGAAACCTTTTTTTGTTTTCACTAGAGATTTAAAAATCAATCTACAGATATAAGAAATAGACATCCAAATCAGTTAAATTGGTTTAAAATATAAGAACTTCCCAATATTTTATGATATATTATCATTATTATCAGAATAATTTGTTTATAATATATAAATAGTGCAATATTTTATGATATATTATCATTTATATAATCATCTTCTTTCTCCTCTCTTTTCAATAATTTATTTATAATAGATGGTTTTCCCAATATTATATGATATATAATCGTCTACCTCCGCTCTCTTCTCAATAGATCGGAATACCATGAAGAAGTTGACGGCCGAAGTGCACCTTACTTCTTTAGGAGTGACCATTCCCTATGACCTGGAAACCTCCCGCGGCAACGTATGCTCCAACCTGCTTCATGGAGCCTACTGTCCCCTGGATGCTGGCGAGGATGTGACCTACCAGCTGCTCCTCCCGGTGACCAATAACCAGCCCGAGGTGCCCACCCGCCTGGAGGTGCGTCTTCTGGACTCCGATAATGGAAATAGTGTTGTCTCCTGTTTCCTGGCCGACACACGGGTCAAGAAGCCCAGTTCGGGAACTTAGAAGAGTCCTTCTCATATAAAGTTAACTTATAGATTAGGCCGAGACATTGTATCAATGTTTTGGCACTGGACATTGGCCAATGCCAATTAATAACGCGTAAGCTGTTGGCACTTAAGCCCGACAAACACTATTAGCAGTTATGAATAAATAATTAGGGGAAAATATTATAAATAATCGACATGAACGGCTGAGTTAATTACCCGGGTGGGCGTGTGTGTGGGCCCGACTACTCCGGCTTAGCCTGACCCGGCTCACCACCCTCGACGAGGGCGCCATGAATCGGCTTAATTAAATGACGCAGAAAATTACGCAGTTCTTGGGGAGGAAGGGAAGATCCTGGGTGGGTGGTAAGGGTGCCCAGGTGGGCGGAGATGCATGCGGTTTTCGGTCTCGGCCCCCTTTCACAAGACTCTAAACTTTCCAGCGCTCCAGTTAACCTCCATTTACACGCACAGCTCCTATGGCTTCCTTCCGGCGCTCAAAAGCTAATTGGCTTTTCAACACTTTGGAGCTTCCTGCTGCTGATGGGGTCTAATGAACAAGCCCTGATGGCAGCACATATCCGACGGTTAGCTAATTGAGTCGTTGACTAGGTGGTGACATATACATAGCTAGGAACTACAGACCCATTCAATTGGTTAACAAATAGGGGATTTTCCATAAACCATTTGGGGTAAAAATGAAATACCTAAAAACAAATTTTAAAAAATTTAATCATAATATTAATAATCCCACTTCAACAACAAAATAAATAAATAGTTAACATATTACCGAAGGCCAAAACATGACTCAGCCAAAAAAGCCACTCGTCATTTACTTTACACGTTTTGAGGTACAGATTTACCCGAATTTAACCATCCGAACCGATCCCATGATGATAACAATTAGCCGAATTATGCATAATTAAATAAAACCTAACTCTTTTTAACATTTTGTTGTCCAGTCATGGTGCTAAAGAGTGATGAAAGGATCTGGTGTTTATTGCAAAATGAGAGTCGTTGGGTTCGGTTGGGTTTTGGCTGCCACTTTAATAAGACTAGCCATCGAAGTAGTTGCGGATTCGAGTTCCTATTTCACTGAATACAATTCGAGTCCAAAGGTTAGTAATACTTGATGGATGATACCATAGACTAATCTGTTCCTATAATTTAGAAAGCTGTAGCTGCTATACAACATATCCATGTCTTTGGGGAGTCGAACTATATGAGGGTCAAGACCTACATCCACGATGATCGCAGCCACTTCGATCTATATGTCCAGTTGTTACATGAGCTGGGCAGCAACCATCTTATCATGAACATAAAGGTTCGGGTTAAACCCGATGGAACTAGCGTTTTCGTCCCATTATTCGAACTTAGGCGCATTAACTTTTGTGAATTTCTCAGCGAATATAGGTCGAATCCGGTAATGAAGTTTATGTTCAAGAAAAACATAAATCTGAACGATATCATCGTGTGTCCCGTCCGCGTGGGAAACTATTCCTTGCTGGACTCCGATGTGGCTGGAAATATGCAGACCCAAGGTATCCAGAACGGCACCTACAAGTTCTTTGCCGAAATTGTCGAGGAAATCGGAGAGATTGCCAAAGTATTTGCCCTACAAGTCACTTCGATGGTATATATTGTAGACAAGGAACTGGAGTGCCAAACTCAAGGAACTTCTATTAAATGTGTGTAGTATTCAATATTTAAAAAAAATTCAAATGGATACCATAATAAATTCTGCTGTTGCATAAATAATGTTTTCCTAGAAAGGTCAAACAAAGGTCAAATTAAATTATACCACAAAAAAGTTTTAATGAAAGAAATTTGAAGCTTACAAAAATTCTTTTTTAATAGAAAAGACTTGAAAAGAAAAAGTGGGTATTTTGATTTATAAAATTTTGTTTTTTTGAATATTTACTACAAATTTTAGAACTTATCCTTTATTATGTTTGGTTTATAGTACTACTATTTTAACTCACAAAAGTGAAAACCCCTAGGATACACCCCGATATATTTTTTGAGGCTTGTGAAATGTAAATAAATATAGGAGTCTTTTAGTCACAACTAATAAATAAAAACAAGCACTTGGTCACTTAGGGGTTAATCAAAAATGGTTGAGAATGGGTTCATTAATTAAATGGCCAACATTAGGCTTCAGTGGGGAATGGACCATGACCACCTGATGATCGCCCCTTGATGATGGCTCCCATTGCGAAATGAACTTTATTCGACTAGCGTTGTTTTTTCCGCTGTTTCAAATAATAAATGGCAACGCAACCAAATCTTTGTGGGATGAGGATGAAGAGGAGAAAGCTCAGGTAAAAGATACATTTCTCAACGCACGACCTATAAAAGGGCCCAACAATTTTCAGAAACCCATTCTGCGCATCCACCACATCAACATCTTCGGGGACTCTCGCTATATGAAGGCTTTGTCCTATATCAACGATAGTCGCACCCAATTCAGCATCACGGTTTCCCTTCGCGAGGAACTGGGCAGTAATTTCCTCACCTTCAACATAAAGGTGCGGGTGAGACCTTCGGAAAGGGAGGTTTTTGTGACCCTTCTTCAGATGAGGGATCTTGATCTGTGTGGATTCTTCTTCGAGTACCGAAAGAACCCCATGATGAAGTACTTCCTGCAGTCGGAGATGCAACTAAGTGACATTATCGCATGTCCTGTTCGCGCGGGAAATTACTCGCTGAATAATGTCAACGTCAAGGATATCTATCCACAGGTCCTGCAGAATGGCACATACAAATTCTTCGTGGAGGTCATCGAGGCAACGGCCGAGAAAGTCTTCGCCCTCCAGGTGACCACCGAGGTACGAGTTCCAAATGCCCCCGAATAAACATTGCCAACAAAGGATGTGTAATTACAGGATATGTGTATGTGCGTTTTTATACCCGTTACTCGTAGAGTAAAAGGGTATACTAGATTCGTCGGAAAGTATGTAACAGGCAGAAGGAAGCGTTTCCGACCCCATAAAGTATATATATTCTTGATCAGGATCACTAGCCGAGTCGATCCAGCCATGTCCGTCTGTCCGTCTGTCCGTCTGTCCGTCTGTCTGTCCGGATGAACGCTGAGATCTCGGAAACTATGAGAGTTAGGCTACTGAGATTTGGCGTACAGATTCCTGAGCTTCTTACGCAGCGCAAGTTTGTTTTAGTAGACTGCCACGCCCACTCTAACGCCCACAAGCCGCCCAAAACTGAAACTCCTACAGTTTTGATGCTAGATAGAAAATTTTAACTGAAATGTATTGTTCTCATCAATACCTATCGATTGACCTAAAAAAAAGTTTGCCACGCCCACTTAAACGCCCACAAACCGCGAAAACCTGTGACGCCCACAATTTGGATGCTAGATGAAAAATTTGAACTGAAATGTATTGGTGTCGTCAATACCTATCGATTGATCCAAAAATAAATTTGCCACGCCCACTCTAACGCCCATAACGCTTAAATCTGTCTACCGCCGGTAGGTGGCGCACTTTAATTTCGCTTTGCTGCTTGCATATCTCCATTTCCCTTTGAGTAACGGGTATCTGATAGTCGAGGTACTCGACTATAGCGTTCTTCCTTGTTTTTTTAACCCCCGTCTGCATTGTAAGCGGATTGCTGTCCTTTCGCCCTCGAATTTTCCGCATTTTCCACCCGCCTCAGTTTTTCCATTGTGCGTCATTCTATTCGGAACAGGGAACATATTGAAAATCGTTTAAAGTGCATGCCCGATTATGGTGATTATCCTTAGAATATAGAGACTTGCGTGTGTGCTCTTCTTCGGGGGGTTTCTTTTGGATTTCCCGCGGGATCCTTGCGGTTTTCCCCGAAGCCATATGTGCAATTTGGCCATAATTAATAGAAAAACAATATGTTCAATGGCCAAGCGATACACGTAACTATGCCGCAAGTTTGGCTAAAGTATTCCAGCCGTAAGCCACTAAAACCCTTTCCAACATCAACGTGTTAAAAAGCAATGGTAATATGATACTTTAATGGAGCTTGAAATATTCTTGCCACCGTTAATTAAAATCCGTAATGCGGTTTTCAGCGAGTATTATTTTCCATGGAGTATTTTTTATTGGAAAAGGGGTTGCCTGACATGGGTCACACACCCTGCGATCCATAATGCCTTTCTTAACGCACAATCAAATCACTTTGCGAATTCAATTTGGCAAAAATAATGCGAATATATATGGATCTCAGAAGTCGGGCGCAAATGGAAATCAAAATTTCAATCTCAACAGTCGGCGAAGGAAAAATTCCAGCAAGTTGGGGAAAATTGAAAGGAGGAGGGGCACTTGAAGTACGTGAAGTGCCAATGCCTGCTATCGAGTGTCGCACTTATGTGTGACCTTTGCAAATTCAATTTGTCGCCTTTTTATCTATAAACATTTTCTATTAGCCTCTGTGTTGTCAGCACAGGGGGAAGGTTTTCCAATTCGATTTGACACAAGGAAGAGGTCACTTACCCACACGAAGTTTATTCAAAGAAATTGGCATTTGGCTCGGAAATACTTGAGCTAATCCGCTGGGACAGGTCATCGAAATTAGAGCTTCTTAGCTTGAGTTCAGGAAAATGGTATAGAAGCATTGAATTTCCATTTCTAGCTGCCTTCAAAGCAACTTTAAAATGCAGCATGGGGCCATTTTTCTGACAATTAAAAAGGCGTTGAGTTGGGCAATTAAACACACGAACCTGCCTCGAAAATAATTCACTTAAATAACGCAATGTTGCGTAATTCAGTTTCACAGTTTTGTAATTAAAAGCATTTGCATAAGAATCGCATCGAGCGCTGTGCCTCGGGCATACTTTCATGCCACTCTAATTAAAGGCTGCCCTCGGAACCGGGACCCCGATTTGCTGGCCAGGACTTTGGGTCTCCCCAAAGGTCATCAACGTCTCCGACGAGGTGACTCCGAACCCCTACCTTAAATTTGGTAGTGGGAAATATGCAGTTGCGTTCATGGTTTGTCAATAGCGTTTTGTCGTTTGCGTGGCCTACAGGAAGCTTTTAATGTTGCTCCAAAGTGCCATTCAATCGGTCTAGAACTTGTAGAAAATTAAGTTGTTGGACAAAGTTAAGTTCGGAAAATGAATATTCTATCGTATTTGCAGTTCTTTAAAAGGTAACAAACGCGGTTATGGAAATATTATTTTCGTTCATTTGCCATGACAATCGGATAAGCAATGGTTCATATTACAAAATAGACTATTTGTAAAACATAAAAATAAATTACCTCTACAATCATCAAAGGTGTCTAGTTCTACCATAATTTTGAATTAAAGATAATATACTCTATAATATCAAATTTTTATTGCAATCGGATAAGCAAATGCTTATATTAAAGAGCTTCTTGTTTAGAAAAAAAAACAATTTACCTCTATTAATCAGCTAATGTTGCTAGTTTAAACATAACTAATTTGCAATTGAAATAAAAAATAACAAACAAACAAAAGAAGTTTTTGGATAGCAAATTACAATATCGATTCGGAAATTAAAATAATTATTTTCAAATTTGACTAGAAAATAAATGCATATCAATATTTTAGAGTTTCCCGATAGTGAAATACCCATCCCAGTTTTATGACTGTTATGATTCCTACACTCAAAAAAATATACTTGATTTTAGGCTACTCACTTTAATTTAAGGAGTAAGGGATTAAAACGTGGTTATATGTTTATACTGATCAAAATGATATATATTTAATATAGGCAGATTGAAAAAAGCTTTATTTTATTGTTTTGTGTGAGGACAATATGCTCTGTTAATCTGCAAGTAAGGGGTATTAACCTCTAATGCTATTTCAGGTTAATTTTTTCATTCAATGAACTGCGAACTTCTGGACAACAATGAGGCTAGAAAAAGGTCCGTTCAGAGTGTGGTCATACGTGATCATCATCTGGTTTCTCTGCGATTCGGAAGCTCTATTTAAATTTACCAACATCAAGTGTATTTGTTATGAAAAGTCGTTCTGTGAGCTAAAGCGCTGTGAATTAAAGGTATTAGGTCGTGGCGTTGTGGGTCTTTTTTTGCATGCCCAGGCCAATCAGCTGCCCATTAACACTTCGTCGGTAAGTAAAATAATCAAATGGTTCTTATGTTATTATGATTACCTGATTTTCCAGTGCGTTCTCACCTTGTTCCGAAGATTTAATGGCTACAAGCCATTTCTCTACAATGTCACCGTCGATATTTGCAGCTTTCTGAAAAACCGAAAGCGCCATCCATTTTTCAATTTGGTATACGATGGTATACGGAACTTCAGCAACATAAATCACACCTGTCCCTTTAATGTTGGTAGTATATCCCATTACGTTTTGTAACTATATGCCATTTTGTTAAATTTTCAGCATGACATAATAGTGCACCGAATGGTACTGAATGATAATATGATGGTCAAGGTTCCTGTGCCGAATGGCTTTTACAAACTTAAATTTAACATGAAAACAGATGGCGTTTGGAGAGGCGAAGTTGAGGTCCATGTGGAGGTTAATTTGGGTTTCGATCGCTAAAGAATTAGATGTATCAGCTCAAACATTACATACTTAGTAGATACGATCTATTTGTTTACGTTTATCAATCACATTCAATATAATCTCCGGTTCAATGAAGCATGTAGGTTGGATATTACCTAACACCACACTTAAAAAAAAGGCGCCTATAAAAGTTCACAATTTCTGTTTATTAATTAAAAAATATATCTGATTATATGTCTATTATTTTCTCTTTAAAATAAATTTTGGTGTTTTAAAATACTTTAATATTTTTTTTATAAATCAAAATGTTTTAAAATAACTTTTTAGTAGGAAAGTGTATAAAATAATAATATGTATGAAATCATAATCTAGATTAAAAAATGTTATTAAAAACATTAATCCAACAAAAATTCTATAACTATCCATAATAATTTGTTTATATATCTGTTTTCTGCATTTCAGTGTGGTTTTTATTCCCAGTGCATGGGCTAACAAATCGCAAATCCATGTTCAAAAATCATATGAGCCTAATTAAGAGCCCATTACCCAACCCTCGCTGTGTAAACAGACACCGCCGACCGCAAGTCAACCAACCAACTCGTAAACCCACCCTCTGGGCAAATGAAAATTTCGAGGGGATGAGGTAGTAAAGTTTTTGAACAACATGTTGCGGGGTGCTCCGAATTGTTACGTGTGTAATCCGACACTTGGACGAGAATACCAAACCATTTCAAACCATTTCAAACCATTCCAAACCATAACATACAATACCATGCCACCTGGGCAATTAGCCCGTGAAATCTCCATGCAAATGAGTGCAAACGGTTTGGCGCTCTCGTTAAGAACATTTCCTTAGACAAGTGTCAGGAGCAGGCGGACCCACAAAGGCCGGAGCTATGCTAATGAGCCCCTGACAGGCTGACAATTAGCCGGGGGCCAGGAAAAGCCGCAAACTGAAACTTGTTGACCTCGTTGCCACAGCAGATCTTGGCCAGGCTTAAAACTTAATGAGCCATATTTTTTTAAACATTTTTCCTCCCCCCTTTATTGAGCTAAAAAGCCACTGTTTCATTCGGTTGTGCGGCGGAGTATAAAAGTTCGTAATTTAATTTCAGTTTATTAGCAGGAATTGTTTTTGACGCTGCTGCGGATGAGACTGCTCCTGGTGGCGTCGCGACGCAACAATTTAATTAAGTTTTTGTAGACCGTTTCACTAATTAATTGCATTCAGTTGCAATTGAAGACAGGGATGGATTGCCAAGGATAACTTCTAAACTTGAAGAATGGAAGAAATTTGTCCTACTTAAATTCGTTTTAAAATCAAGGTTTAAAATCTTCATATGATATAAAATTCAACTAAATAATGTATAGTATAAATTAAACACTATGTTTTATAAAACATATTATGAAACTTGATATTTCGTACTTCAAGTAAATAAATATTATTATTATTAGGATTTTATCTTCTGCACAACATATTTTATATATTATATTATATTATAATTGCATAATTCCTGTATCTGTAATAAAAAATTGGTTAATATTTAAAATTAAAGACAATATAATATATTAGTATTGTATGGTACAAATTAAATACAATGTTCTTAAGAATATATTTTGATATTTGGTATTTCATACTTCAATTAAACAGAAATAACCAATTTAAATAGAATAATTCCAATATCTATAAACGAAAACATTTTAATAACAAGTTGTTAATACAAATCGAAATTATAAATAAATCTTTTTAAATATATCTATGTTTTTTCAACAGATTTACCTTAAATAAATGTGAATTTAATAATGAATTCTCTAGTAACTAATTTAATTTCCTCGAAGCCCTGGTTAAATTCCAGCGACTTGCTTAATTTTTTGGCCAGGAGCTGACGCCATTTTGGAAACTCACTCGCCACGCAAGAGGGGAGCTGCATTAAATTTTCAAAACCACAAAAAGAATCCTTTGGTTCTTAAAATGTCTGAACAACGCTGACCATGAGGATGCCCGGGGGGGTGGTGCGGAATGAGCGGAAGGCAGAGTAAAGTTACCTGGGGGCTGGCAACAAAAGGCGCACTCACCTGTCAACGCCCCAAGGTATAACCGCCCCCCCCCCCCTTTAAAGCCCCCCACAAAAAACAGGGTGGGGGAGTAAGTAGGCTAAAACTCCAACGCAGTGCAATGAAATTCTTTATCTGCAATTCAATGACATTCCATTCCGGACTTTGGAGGGGGCGTGGCTAGCCGGGAAAATGCCGCCAATGAGCGTGCCCCCATTGGAGCAACAGATGATACATTCATGCAGCGCCCCCTGGTGGACCTGCATCAGTGGGCGGGGCTGCGCATGCGCCCTTAAAAATTGCGTGGGTGTCCGGGGGTGGGATTGTCGAGCTATGTCATCCGCCCGGCGAATCCCAGAGCAGGAAGCTCAGGATTCCGCCGCAAGGTGCAAAAGAGAGAGGGAGAGAAAGCGAGAGCCGCACATCCCGTTCAATAATGTGGGTGCCCAGTGGGTGGTGGGTGGTCGCCCTGAGCTGCCTTTCATTGGCTTCGCATTCAAACCCAATTTCAGCTCGTAGCATTGCGACAGGTGACCGTCCGCCGTTCAGTTCTCTTTGAAGCCTGCCGCGGGTCAGTTGCGTGTCACGGAAAATCCTTAAGTCCTTCGGCTATCGGAAAAGTCCTTTTCGGGCAGTGCAAAGGTGCTTGAAAACTTATTAAAAGGAAATTACCAAAGTTGTGGACATACTGAAATAATTTCATGGATTACAAGCCAAACAAATCGTTTGGCAAACAGAAAAATCAAGTGAACTGCTTAAAGAAAATTCTAAGTAGGAAATCTTAAGTTCTTGAAATCATAATTCTCAGAAATACTAATAATATCAAAGTGCTACAAAAATCGAAATATAACTGGTGTTAATTTAAGTACCTTGAGGTAAATCTTATAATCACGAGATATATTTTAAAATTTAATTTAATTTAATTTAAGATCCTTTACTCTATTAAACATTTTCTGTCAAAAATTTTTTTTTCAAATTTTTCAAAATTTAAAATTTTTGATTTTAGAAATAAATGATTCGCTCTTAAAAATTAATTTAAAATTAAACGTAACAAAATGTTTAGATCCATTTTCTTAATTTCCTCTTAAAGTAACAGTTAGTTATTTCTCAGAGACCATGAATATACATTTTTGGAAAGACAAATTGGTTTTCTCAATGTGAGGTTAATTTTTAGAGCAACAAATTTTGACAGAGTTTGTTAACACACCATTTAGTGGAATTAGATTTTTTTGGCAGATCTGTTATGTCGACCAACAAAGTTAACTACAACATTGCCTCTAGTTAATAGTTTTCAGTTAGATATAAACTAAGAGCACATAAAGAAACTATAGTTTTCCCAATGGGAAAAGTTAGCGTGTTATTCAGAAATGGGGTTTAGTGATAACATTATATTCAAAATGTCAAACAAAACTGCTTCTTCTATCGAAATTAAGAAAAGTGGTGCCTATAATATATTTTTTAAAAACCTTTCAAACTTTTCCATTATGAAATAATAAATATCCAATTTCTTTTGGTACACAAAATATTTCTATAACTTTACAAATATATTTGTCTATGAACTATAAATATCACATTTGCACTTGATTTTCATTTATCTTTCAGTTAACTCCAATCGAAATATTAAATTCCCGCTTTATTGTTCAAGCCTTATTCTGAGTATAGGACTTCAAATGAAATACCAAGTGTTTGACGACACAACGCAATAGAAAAGGGAGAAAATGATGAACATGAATCCTCCGACGCACCCTGCCCTGCACCCCAATCCACACACCCATCCACATCCCCATCCCCATCCCCATCTCCCCCAGCCGCTGCAGCATCTTGGCCAGCACCAGCAGATGCCCGGCCTGCTCCAAGGCCACCCGAACACCACCACCCACTTCGTGGAGTGCCGGGCATTACCGGCAATCAACGAGACATTTCCGCAATTTGGCCAGCATCGTCCGGCTATTTCGCTGATCTCCCCCTTGGATCTTTCCCTTCGGGCAGCGGCCAGTGTAGTGCCAATTACTCCGCCCTCAACGCCCTCGCCGCCCCGCAAGCGCCAGAGATTAATGTCCGAGGAAAATTACCTGTGGCGTCCTCACATGGCGAGTCCTGCAGCGCCAGGACCTTCGAACTTGGCCATGCAGCCAGGCAGCAGTTTCTATCATCATCAGCAGCAGCAACAGCAGCAACATCAACAGCAACAGCAGCAGCAACAACAGACCCAGCAGCAACATCAGACACACCAGCAACATCAACCACAACAGCAACATCATCAACAACCATATTCCATACGCAGCAGCTTTGAGGGCGCTGCCTTTAATAAAAGTCATTTTCACGGGACGAAAAATAACTTTGAGCAAATTCCGGCGGGTCAATCGAGCGTCAGTTCGCCCATCTACGTGGAGGATGAGACCATTGTGCTGACCGAGGACGAGGATGAAACAGTTGTCAGTTCCCATGACTACAATGAGTACGCCACGGACACCGAGGAAGTCAACGAGGGCGACGATGAGACACTGCAGGTCCAAGTCAGCGATAATGATAATGGTGAGGAGGAGGATAATAATGAGGAGGAGGAGGAAGTCTTTGTGGATGTCCTGGGCAGTGATGATGATGAGGATGAGACAGTGGATCCGGCCACAAGATTGCAGGCCCAACTAATGGAGACCACAGCCCTGAAGAGGAATGAGTTGCTGTACGAGGATGAGGAGCTGCACAACCAGGCGGTGGATGGTCTGGCCAGGCTTTTCGAGCGGGACTTTCCACAGCCCGAAGTGGAGGTCAGCGAACTGGCGGAGGTCCAGAGCAGCAGCGGGAAAACCTACACGGATTTGAGTGGCGTGGTAGCCATGGTGGAGGTGAGGGATACCAGATCACCCAGACTTCCACCGCCTCCTCCTCCAGCTCCTCCTGCTACTATTACTGCTTCTGGTCCTGCTTCTGCCCTACCTGCACCACCACCACCACCCAGTCGTCCCCACAAGGCCGAACGCAAGAGATCCAAGCTAAGGAAACACATGGCCATCGATGAGGAGACCATCAGTCCGGTGTCCGGCACCATCATCCGCAAATTGCGCGACGACGAGGAGCTGGTGGTGCGCAAAGGCGACATTGATCCGGCTTTCAATGTGGTGGAAATCACCGAGGAGGCCAAGGCCATCCTGGCCAGCATCGATAACAAGATTGGCGACTACCTGTGCCAGCTTTGTCGCACTGTCTACGATGATGCCTTCATGCTGGCCCAGCATCGATGTCCCCGCATCGTCCACATCGAGTACAAGTGCTCCGAGTGCGAGAAGGTATGTGTTTTGGCCTTAAATGTGTGTTTCTGGCGGAGATTTAAGGGTTTCCCCCCTTGCAGGTCTTTAATTGCCCGGCCAACTTGGCCTCCCATCGCAGGTGGCATAAGCCCAAAGCGGATGCTGCCGGCGGTGCGGGTAATCCTACCAAGAAGCGAATCGTTGAGGCCGGAGATCTCCTCCAGGAGGCGGGAAGAGGAGGCTCTGACGATGCCAGCGATGGTATTTATCCTTGCCACATTTGCGGAAAGACCTTCAGACGGTGAGTAAAAGTTTTAATTTTATATGGAAACAAAACAAAATATTGGTAGTTTATTAATAAAGAGAACTAAAACCTTCTGATAAATGTCTTAGAAAGGCCTAACATTTCTAACTAACTTTTTGATTTGGGCCAGTTTCTCAATATCAGGTTAGGCTTCTAGTAATCTGTCAAAAAAGTGAACATGAAGTTAAATTGTTCGGATAGACAAACTTCTTTTCTAAATGTTATGTTAACTTTTTCAACGAACAATCCTAACAGAGTCTAACAAACCTAATAAAGAACAGCAACGAACAAAATTTAACCAGAATATAACCTCTAGTTAACAGTTTTCAGTCTGATAACACGTAACATAATATTGAGAAACTAATTTTTTCCGAAACATCAACTGGGTTATAATGGGAAACTTGTCATTGAGAAATCAAATCCTTAATCAATTAATTTGAATCTTCTGGAAGATAACCTCTAGTTAAGATTTTTCAGTTTGAAAACGCCTAACATGATATTGAAAAACTAATTTTTACCAAAACATCAATTGGGTTATAATGGGAAACTTGTCATGGAGAAATCAAATCCTTAATCAATTAACTTGAATTTTCTTCCCCAAATTATTTTTAACCCCTAGGCAAGCTTACCTAAAGAAGCACCAGGCCTCCCATCAGATGTTGGACAATCTAAAGAACCTGGACTTCTTCAAGGCCCAGCAGCAGCAGTTGGCCATCGGTGGCCACCAGATGCCCGATCATGTCCAGCTGCAGCAGACGGCGGGCCAAGCAGTTGCCTCTGCCACTCCCTATGGTGCTCCCCCTCTGCCACGCCCACCACCCGGCATGCCCATCTATCCGCCCCCGAATGGTAAGAACTATGCGGGTGGCCAGCGCTTTCCCGGCTTTCCCTTCCAGGCCTTCGATCAGCGTCGCTTCTACTCGCTGGGGGAGTTCTACCTTTCGCAGCATCTGGAGCGCTCCTCGGCCTTTCAGTACGTGCAGGCCAATCACCTGAGGCAACTGTCGAATGTGGCCCAAACGCTGATGCCTCCACTGCCCGTTAAATGACCCAATCCCAATACGAATGTCCTGCGGCCAGTGCCCCGAATTGCTGCAACAACAAGTGCAACAGGACCGCCGGCGGCAACAACAACAGCTAGACAAGTGGCAACTGCCGCAGCGGTATCCTCCGGCGGTCACGCCTTTAATTGGGTGGCTCCTTCGACAGCAACAGGAAATGCAACGGGAAACGCAACCGGAAATGCAACGGGAAATGCAACTGCAACTGCTGCCGAGGCCGGCGGCAATGTTATCATGTGACTTACCAACTATTAGAAGCATTGAATCAACAATCTCTAGTTAAAGTTTAATAAATCAATCAAAAGATTAGGAAGCGTTTTTTTTGGGATGTTTTATTTTGGGCTATCTGCTATATTGGTTTGCAGTTCTGGATTTTTTTTAGGATAACGGAAACAATAAAGATTAAAATTCAAAAACGACTATGTCTTTTTTCAAGTAATGAAATAAAATATATACAGATTCTTTCAATATTATCATCATACCCATTTTGATCCATACAGCTATTTTTGTATGATTATATAAAATGGCACATTTTTGAGTTTACTAGCATGTTAAACACGCTGCAGAGACATATTAACTATCCTTTAAAAATCTTTTTTATTAAAGACATTGCCCAACAAAATATTTTAATATTGTGCGCTTTCCTAAGATTGTGCTCTTGCTCTAACATAAAGATCCCGAATAAAATGTGCTATCCTTTATTTCTACTCCTGCTAAGGACATGGGATACAGCGTGTGCCAGAAAGGTTTCCTTCCGAACACCACGAAAAATGGCTGACTTAGGTCCTGCGAAATTTGAAAAGAAACATAAATTCAATAAAAACGATAAATAAGATAATGCATATGACTTACCCGTAGCGAACAGCAAACTATCTGAAGGCATTTGATATAATCTTTGTTGGATTTCCAGTTCCGTCCCATTAAAAATCTCCAGAAGGTGGTTTATTGTCTCCGTTTCTTCACTCACATCCAAACTTGGTTTTGAATAGATGGCATTGGTCAAGAGAACTAGAGTAAGAGTATCCTTATCCTCTTGAAGACTAACCAAAGTTTCGTTCAAAAGCTGCAGCTCCTTTATTTTGTCCATGTCTGACTTGATAAACTGCTCCACTATAAGTAGATAGCCCTGACCTGGCTTTTTGATTACTTCTACAGACTTCTCTACCATTAATTTAAGACTTGGGGCTCTTGCATTTCCCCTTAAATCTCCATTTGCCATTATGCCCAGGATATGATCAAAACTACTGGCATTTAGGGACTCCAACTCATCGGTTCGCTGTACCAAATCGAATTTTATAGCTTTGATTTTGCTCTCCCTGAGTTTTTGGTTTCTCCACTCCTTTAGAAGATTGCGTCCATCGTTGGACTCGCAGAGAAGCTCATCCACGGGATCCCACCGGGTTTTGGGTACCAAAGTGCTCAGCATTTGTCTACCGCCTCCAATGATTATATTAAGGGATTTACCAGTCTCGCCGGTGATCAACTGACGGGCTATATCCTGGCATCCTGATTTTAAGGAACCCAAAGGCATTCTTTCATCGCATTCGTAGTTGCTGAAGGTATTTCCCAAAGCAGCTCCTGTAGATCCCGTAATCCTTTGAGTTGTCACAAAACCAGTTCTTAAACCAGCCAATTGAGCCTGGCGAAGAATACTCAGTGTGGTTTCCGTTCCATTGATAAACTCTTCACAATCTTGCTGATTTTCAGGTACTTCACCCAAAGGTATTCCTGACCAAAGTGCTCTGGAAACCCTATCCACTTGACAGGGAAACTGCTGACTGCAGCTGTTCTTCAAACGAGCCAAGTGGGGAAACTGATCCCAAACAAAGTTGGTATTTCCCTGGTTAAAATCCCCAACTGGAAAACGATAGGCAGCCAAGTCTCGAGCATCAACACCCTGTACTAGAAACATCCTTACGTTTTTAGGATACAAGGGATCCTTGGAAGATTTCAGCGCTTCATTGAGCTCTTCTATGCCCTTATCATACCAGATTTTCTGAGTTGGCGCCACCTTGTCTTTCCAATAGTCCACATCCGCCACGTTGGCCACATCGTTCTCCACCTCGTAACGAGTCATTAGGCCAATGCAAAGTAAGCTGACCATCACCGTTAGTAAAACGGTTCCGGCTACCAGAAACACCTGTGTGGATTTCAGCCGAACTACCTGGCAAATCTCTTTGGTCCGTTGTGTGGTTACCATCTCGAAGATGTGGCTAAAACTGATTCATAGAGGCTCTCTGCTCTTCGGGTTAAATCATAAACAACTTTATCTGCTATCTGTTGTTCGAGATAAGGTTCGGGTTTCCTCTTAGGGGCCCTAAAGCCCCCAATCGCTGGCCGTTTAGTTGGGTTTAAGTGTAGCAATTAACCCACGTCATGAATTATAAATGCACTAATTGGCGTGTCAACTAATGCAAAACACACAGGGAGAAAAATTAATACACATAAAAAAAAAGAATTGAACTGAATTAATGTATATTAGAGATATAATCAACTCCTAAGGAAAATGTTTTATTTTGTAATAAAATGTAAATTAATTTAACAAAATTAAAGAACTTTTTCATAAAATATGGAATAAATAAATGTTTACAAAGAATTCTAGTAATTTTGAGTTAATGACAATTTGTTCAATATAGTAGAAAAATTATAATTTTTTAGATGATTATCTAAGACTTATATATTAAACGTTTTTTTCTTAAATGTGGAATAAATTCGTCATTATCTTCGAATTTTTAAAATGTATGGAAAATATTTTTTAGGTGTAGCAAACATAATGTTAATACTTGAGTTATAACAGTTGGGAATTATAAATATATGAGTTTACTATATTATTCGTGGAAATTTATATCTTAAACAAAAGTATTTAAAAGAATTTCTCTGTGTGATAGTGATTGAATTTTCTTTTATTACTAATAAAGCTATATTTAAATCTCATAAGCAGCTTGTAATTAACTATTATTTAAATTAATTTTAACACACCTAGGGGATAAATAAATGAAATATTAAATTGTAGGATGTTTAAGGAGTGGAATGCTTTTACACACTTAATTTCCCAGTGCACAAAATTGCAAATTCCGAGTTCAATTGCTGTTTTGAGGGGTCAAAGACGCCTCAGCTTTGGCCATTAACTATTTCTCACATGTGTGTTGGCCACAATTGATTTGTGAGTTGGTCGAAAGCAGGATGGGATGGCCTTTGCCCTCTGGAAAACGGCAAATACTAATTGTCATTCGGCATTCAAATGACGTTTTCAATTTCCACCCCATGCGACGAACTATTTCGCTTACGAATTCTCGCCCAATTAAATTGGCTCACACAGTGCAGCAAATGGTTTGTTCATTTGCCAGTTATGCGAATGCGAAATTGTTGCCTCAATTACCTGCCATTAGCCTGCATTTAACCCCCCATCCCCTCCCAGTTACGACCCCGCCCATGCGATTTTACCATGTCCCTCATTTCGTCGCTTTGAAGTTGCTTTGCATTGACATGTGGTCAGTTTTCCCCCAGCGAAACTGTCACAATTTCAATTTGAATCCCACTCAACTGACAATGGCACTCGGTGGGTCAAGTATCACTTTGATTATCGATATGTCCATTTATTCATCTATTTGTTTTAACAACGGTTCTCGACTTGCGGAAATCGCTGAGCAATTTCAATGGCAATTTTTCAATCATGCTGTGATTTTGCCTGTCAAACAGCAGCCCACGTTGCGTATGCGTAATGTAATGAGGGTGGGGGTGGTTCTTAAGATTGCTTTCCTAACCTGCCCTAAGCCAAAGCTTAGAGGTGGGAAAAGATGACATTTCCTCTATGATAGCGCTCTATATAAGAAGGGTAACTTTGGATTGCAAGTGGAGTATGGAAAGCTCCGTTTTCACCCCTTCTTGAAAAGGTTCGTTTATTGACTGAGCTTGCAGGTAAGCTTTTAGCAGCGCCCCTAGTGGTCAAACAAACCTTTTTTGGGCTGTCAAGGGTGGGGTCTTGTGGGGATGAAAAAAGTGGTGGGTAGATAAAATGCATTTCGTAGGTCTGGCAACTCTTAATTTTCACGCATCTAAATCCAAATTTAAAAGATTCGCAATTTTTAGAATTTTTGGTGAAAAGATGGTACCCATAAGCTTTATTTTTAGTAATTATTTACCTTTCAAGTTGAGAACAAAATGGATATGATGATTCTTGATGATTTTTAATGATTTTAGGAGATGTTTAAAAGATATTCATTTAAGAGATATGTATGATATTTGAAAAGAACTCATCTAATTGGAATAAACCTAAATATAGTTGGACTTAAGTTTAGATAAGATTTTGTAGACTATAAGAAGGAAATGGTTTTAAATCTTTAAAAGTTGTTATACTTGTTGTGCATTTTTTAAGTGACCCATTTAATTTGGTTCAGCAATCACTAAAGGCCATACGTAGAAAGATAAGTAATTTTTCTAAGAAAATTTTGTATTCTAATCATTCTAATTCCTTTTTTATCGTTTAAGACTTAAGTTAGTTGATAAACTGGCAATAATTATAAATTTCTCAAACGTAATACCTACTTATAGTTGTCATTAGGAGTGAAAAAAGTGTTGAAAAATATTTGTAGATAAATTCTTTATCTTGTTATATAAATATTCATCAAAAATGGTAGTTTTCTTTTAGAGAAAACATCACCTTCTTGAGTAACAGTTTACAAGTAACAGTTGACAAATAAAATAACAAATAACAGTTGAGTATCAGTTTACTATTAATGAAAAATGTACTATAATGACTAAGGAACTTCCTGACTTTGCTAGCCTTCACTTGGCCCACAAATTTCAAACTGAAACCCATTTAAAATGCATAAAATCTGCCAACAGCTGGCGAAATCTGTTGCGGCTTACGCAGATTAGATCCTGTCCGCTGGCAAAATGATTTGCAGTGCAAATGGAATTTCGTATGCATCCGACAATCGCCGCAGGATGCAATTAGCGGCGAGTGGCCATCAAGTTAGTAGAGCCATCGAGGAAAGGAAGATGAGATGGCGAGATGGCGAGAATCCGAGAACATGGCCAAGAACATGGCCGAGAACAGGGCTTTTGAATGGCGGCAGAGCCCAGGAAGTCGACGGGCGTGACGCATGTGGGTCACTTGGCTGGCCCACGTCAATGTTTTTGCAGGATGTCTTTGCAAGCTGCTGCATCATGCCCCCACCACCGCCCCCTCCCACGCCCCCTCCCACGTCCACGCCCACGACCACGCCCACACCCAGTCCACGCCCGGAAAACTAGGTGTTGGTTGTAACCCCTCCCCCTCCCCCAGTGGAATTCATATGCATGGGAGGAGAAAAGAGAGAGCGGCTCTTCGCAGCCATGACCTTGCCCCCCAAATAGAATTTCCCATCATCGAGTGTTGTTTGCATTCCAACGGCGCCTGCCTAAAACATTTTCCGTGTTCGCTTTCCATATGGCAAGGAGCGAGGAATTTCCTTGACACATTTTCCGAGGGGAAATGCAAAGCCCAGTAGGTAAAATACCCAATTAAACATTCATTTCATACGCCTAATGCGAATTTGCAATGGAAATTCGCTTTATTTGTTAATAAGCAATTAAAATTAGCGCTTGAAATAAACTGCAACGCAGTAATAACACACAAATGCAATTTCTTTACATGCCTTATATCAAAAACATTCCAAGGACATGGACGTTTTGCTAAAAGGGGTGTACCTAACTAAAATATTCATTAATTAAGAGATAAGAACAAGCTCCTAAATTTCCGTTTTTAAAAATAATATTTTATAATATATGGTACTCTTTTGAACCCCTTTGAGTTACATCACTGTCATTAAATCAATTTTCAAGCCAAGTCATAATATTACTCAGATTTGCTGTTGCCATTGATTACCGCATCTGCTTCGCTGTATTGGGGAAAATACATTTTTCCATTCATTTCAGAAAAGACAGTCATTGTATACTCTTTAAAAACTTTGTAAATATACTTGTTGCTTATGTGAAGGAGGAGGTATATACATATGTCTTTTTTCATATATCAACTAAAAATATTGTTTGTTTTATATATTGTTAACTGATTAAACAGCTAAAAAATCCATGGATTAACTCTACAAAATCTGAAAGGAGGAGAGGAGTAACAATAGATTTCTACCCCAAATTTAAAATCTTTCCAACACGACAGTTTTAAAAAACTCTTGGTTAAGGTACTTAATAATCAATTTTAAAGCACTTTTTACGGCTTAATAACACCTAAACCATTTTAGGCCCAGAACCAGATTTTATCTGAATCGGTACTTTGAACCTTTGACTTTAACAGTGGACAATCATATTTTTTGTGAGACTTTGCTTCTTTGTTCTTAGTTCAAATGCATTTTACTAAGTTAACTTTTGTCACTTTTTAAACCTTTTTATCGGATTGAAATCATCAACTAATATGTTTTGTGTCTTTTTGTTAGTGCTTTCTTGTTATTAATTTCGAGAAGCGAATTTAATAAATTTCACAATAGCTTTATCCCTTCCATTGTTTGTTTGGCACAACAATTCAAATTAAATCTAAAATCCCTTAACAAAACACAGCCACGAAAATCAATTAATTTGAGATATTGGATAAACTGATAGTTCTAAACAGAAATTCGTATTAATAATAATACCTATATCACGTAGCTTGCAGTAATCGACTTATTACAATGACTTTAGGCAGCTGCATTATTATGATAAGAAAATTTCCACTTAGCCCACACGTCTTAGCATCTGCCATAATTGGTATTTCTCTATAGTTTACGCTTGATTGCATGCCATTCTCATTGGCATTTGACAGCAATTTATATAATACAGGGGAGGTGATAAAGGGGATGAGCAATATGACCCGTCTAGCCCCTCATGGGTGCAATAAATGATGCATTGGGGTGGAAAATTATGCATTTAATTCCTTAGAAGGCGATTTCAGGGGCACCTACTTTCTGCAGTATTATCTTTATCCCATCAAATATAAGGAATAAATTACAAAGCATGCCAATCCATGGTTCAAAATAGAATATTCTTGTGAATTGTGTATACCAAAATCCGAAAAATAATTCTCTAAATTGTGCAATTTTGTTTATTTTTATTAGGAAATGCGCTTCAGAGATATTCTTTCCCCTTTATTTTCTTTAATGTTTGACAAACACGAAATGGAAAGACAAGCGGCGATAAGGCGAAGACAAAAGCGAGTGAAAAGAATAGAAAAAGGGAACGGAAGAGAGATAAAACCGAGAAGTTGCAATTTATTGATTGTGTGCACTTGCACTTGTGTGTATCTGTGTGTGTATCTGTGCCAGCTTTTCGTATCTGTATCGGTGGCTGTACTGAAAAATTAGTTGACAACTGACGATACACACTCACACTGGCGCATTTATATATACACACACATATATATATATATAGCATGGCCTTG